TAGCAGCATTATTCACAAAAGCCAAAAGCTGAAAAAAAAACCCAACATCCATCAAAGGATGAATGGATAAACAAGAGGTGTTATATACATACAATGGAATGTTATTCAGCCTTGAAAAGAGAATGAGATTCTGATACATGCTGCAACATGGATGAACCTAGAAAACGTGCTAAATAAAATGAACCATGCACAAAAGGGCAAATGTTGTATGATTCCACTTACGCTGTATCTAGAAAATTCATAGAGACAGAAAAGAAGATAGTAGGTCCCAGGGACTGAGGGGGGCAGGTGGAAAGGGGAGTTATCAGGTAATGGGTACAGAGTTTCTGCTGGGGGTGATGAATAAGCTCTGGAGATGTGATGATGGAGATGGCTGCACAATGATGTGACTATACTTAATGCCACTGAACTGTACACTCGAAATGGTTAAAATGGTAAATTTATGTTATGTATATTTTATTGCACACACAAAGTCTTATTTAGAACAGTTCAACCCAGCAAGACAATCTGTTCTGCTCTTGCTGTTGGGGAGCAGGGGCAGGGAAGGAGCGCTTCCTCCCAGAACCAGCCCAGGCAGCATCCCCAGTGCTGCTTGGCACTTTTAATTATGACTAGCGTCCGACTGTTCCTCACAGTCTCAACTGGGGGCTGTGTCAGTTGGCCCCTGTCGCGTCCTGATTGCCCTGCAGAAACTGTCTTCCTGGGCTGTAACTGTCTTTTCAGATTACCTGGGTGCACGGACGGTAATCATTTGCTTGAACGTGATTGTGTCCTCAGCATGACACTAGCGGCTGGGCATAACAAAGCGTGAATAGAATTCTGGTGACTTGAAATTTGGTTTCCCCAATTGACTTTTTCCCCACCCCACTACCCACCCCTTCTCAGCTACATTGTGGCTTTCACTCCTTTGACAATATGGGCCGATTTCTCTGGGTAGAAGCGGCATCTTGGTGCTCATTTGCGTTTTCTACTGATGACATCCATATCAGAAGAAACCTGTCTATACTGTAGATCAAAATGATTTTTTTCCATCCTTAGCTGCCAGAACAATTCTTATCACTGAAGATCAAATCTTCCATGAGCTCATATATCATCATTACCTACAATACAAATTCTGAAATCAAAGCAGACCTGGCAATTTTATTGATGTTCAGAGCGGAACAGAGCCCAGGTCACCCTGAATCAGTTGCACTGCCTTTGCCTTGCTGACAGCAACAAACATGTCACTGACAAAATTACCAAAGAAAAGATGACTCGGTAAGTTCCATGCAGAAGGTAACTTGTCAGTGACAGGGGTGGGATATTTTTATCCTTATAACTCAGTGCTAATGAAATTGGTGGGAAGAACATCTGACTGAGAATGTGTCCCCCAGGGAGCAGAGAGAAGCAGAAAGCACTGGAGTCGGCCTCTTTTCAAAGTCATTTTTCTCAATACTGCCATGATTTAATCAGGTGGTCTTAACAAGAGCTGAGGAGTGGAGGACCAGAAGCAATAACCAGTAAGGCCAGTTTTGTCATTCTTAAGCATGGCCTGTGGACAGCTCTGTAAGGCATGGACAATCTGTCATGCCTGGATCTCGGTTTTCTCATTTGTGCAGAATCACACTATATGGTCCTTTGCTATTTGGAGGATTAAATGCTGTTTGTCAAGTGATTTGAGATCTAAGAATAGAAAGAATTATAATACAGGCACATCTCACTCTCATTTTACAGTTGTTAGCAAGGATTGAGGTATGGAAAGAAAGATGCCCAGCCACGAGAGGTTACCATCTGCCCTTTACTGGCATTTGGGGAAGGAAAGGAAATTAGAAAAGAAAAAGATGTCAGTATATTAGAAGAAGATGAAGGGAAGGAGATAGGGTAAGACATTGTGCCGGTGGTCCCCAAGACCACCCTCAGGTTTGATGATTTACTAGAAAGACTCACAGGGCCCAGAAAAGCAGTTACACTCGTGGTTATGGTTTATTACAGCAAAAGGATATGGATGAAGCAGCAAAGGAGAGAGGTACATAGGTCAGATTTTAGGAAAGATGAGGTACAGAGATTTCAGTTGTCCTCTTCTGGTGGAGTTGCATAGACAGTGTTTAATTCTCTCAGCAACAACGGATGACAACATGTACAAAGTATTGCCAAACAGGGAAGCTCACCCCAGCCTTGGTGTCCAGTGAGTTTTACTGGGAACCAGTCATGTAGACAGGTAGTGCCCATAGGACTGGCCTTAGCTACTCAGTCTCCAGCTTCCCTAAAAGGCCAAACTGACACAGCATGGTCCACAACCTCAGGTGTACAAAAGCAGGCATCTACAATAAGGAACTGTGTCATAAACTATCTGGTGCAGCCCTAGGCCCCGGGTACACAAAGACAACCTTATCAGGCAGGATATTCCAAAGGCTCAGAGAATATCTTGCAGCAGCTGGTCAAGAGCCAGTCCTTCCTTTGAAACGTGCTGGGTGTGGGGTCTGCTACACAGATATGTAAAGAAGTGAAGTCCAAATTCCTTCCAACTGCTCTCACTGAGGGCAGGACTGTGACTGCCTAACAGGTTCGCCTTGCCAGCTGCCTAGACATAGCCAATTTATCAAGACAGGGAACTGCAATAGAGAAAGAGTAATCCATGCGGGGATCACCGTGTGAGAGACCAGAGTTTTATTATTATTCAAATCAGTATCCTGAGCGTTTGGGGATCTGTGGTTTTAAGAATAATTTGGTGGGTAGTGGGGGCCAATGAGCAAGGAGTGCCGATTGGACAGGTTGGAGATGAAATATTAGTGAGTCAAAGCTGTCTTCTTGTGCTGGGTCAGTTCCTAGGTGGGGGCCACAAAATCAGATGAGCCAGTTTATAGATCTGGGTAGTACCAGCTGATCCATCAAGTGCAGGGTCTGCAAAATATCTCAAGCACTGACCTTAGGTTTTACATAGTGATGTTATCCCCAGGAGCAATTTTAGGAGGATCAGAATATTGTGGCCGCCAGCTGCATGACTCCCAAATCATAATTTCTAATCTTTTGGCTAATTTGTTAGTCCTACAAAGGCAGTCTAGTCCCCAGGCAAGAAGATTTGTTTTGGGAAAGGGCTGTTGTCATCTTTGTTTTAAACTTTAAACTAAATTCCTCCCAAAGTTAGTTCAGCCTATGCCCAGGAACGAACAAGGACAGCTTGGAGGTTAGACGCAACATGGAGTTGGTTAGGTCAGATCTCTTTCACTGTCTCAGGTATAATTTTGCAATGGCGTGGTTTCCGAACAATGTTAAATGTGCTGAAATCCTACATGCCGTGGAGCAACAGTTAAAGCAATATTGCAAACACATAATTCATCCATGACTATTCCTCTTTCTCAAACATCTTTTACTATTCTTCATTTTTCAGACTTGATTCACCAAATTTCTTGTAGAACTCAAGGCCAGGAAAACAATTACTCTTCATGTTCCCTTTTCACCGGCTTCCTTTAAAAGCCAATGAGAGCATCTTTCCCTCTTCCTTGGCTGCCAGGGTGTTCAGAGTGAAGTTTTGTGCTTATTGTCTGCAGCCTGTTTTCGGGCACAATTGCTCTCTTCTCTTCCCCTCCTCAGTGTGACAGGGTAAAAAGGCATAGTTTTGGACCCAAAGACATCGATTCAGATCCTGACTCTTCAACACACTGACTGTGTGGCCTTAGACCAATCACTTAACCCATTTAACCATGTGTCCTTGGTAAAATGACTTTTCAAGGTTGTTGAAAAGATTAGAGATAAGAACATAAAGGACCTGGTGCTTGGTAGGGGCTAAATAAAGGATAGCTATCTTTTTTGTGTATTTTCTTTTCTTTTTTTTTCTCTAAAAAATGCTCTCCCAAAGTGCTGGGATTACTCTTTTAGTTATTTTTAAATGTACAGTAAATTACTGTGGACTGTAATCACTCTGTTGTGCTATCAAATACTAGCTCATGTTCATCCTATCTAACTGTATGTTTGTACCCGTTAACCATCCCCACTCCCTTCCACTGTCAGCTACGCTTCCCAGTAACCGTCATTCTACTGTCTATCTCCAAAAGTTTAATTGCTTTAATTTTTAGCTGCCACAGTGAGAACATGTGAAGTTTGCCTTTCCGTACCTGGCTTATTTCACTTAACATAATGACCTCCAGTTCCATCTATATTGTTGCAACTGACAGGATTTCATTTATTTTCTTTTTTCTTTTTTCTTTTTTTTTTGGCTGAAGAGTATTCTGTTGTGTATATGTACCACATTTTCTTTATCCACTCATCTGTTGATGGACACTTAGGTTGCTTCCAAATCTTGACTATTGTGAATAGTGCTGCAATAAACATGGAAGTGCACATATGTCTTCAACATACTGACTTCCTTTATTTTGGGTATATGCCTAACAGTGGGACTGCTGGATCACATTGTAGTTCTATTTTTATTTTTTTGAGGAACCTCCATGCTGTTATCCATGGTGGCTGTACTAATTTACATTTTCACCAACAACATATAAGGGTTCCCTTTTCTCCACATCCTAAAGCGTAGTTATTCTTATTACCACATCTTTTTCTTTTCCTGCATTAATTATTTAATTTTAATCTTTGAGATGTTTTTGTTATTGTTGTTAATGCATTACTAAACCTCCTTAAATCTCCTTGATGCGGACAGGATTGCACACATGTAAATGACTTTTAAGAGGTCCTTTGTATGGTGGATGTGAGAAGAGGCCTCACAGGTTTCTGATTGCAGGAAGCAAATCGACCGATGGCCCCAACTGCTGTGCTTTGAGATCCACTGCTGCATTTGTGCTGAGGCCACCTTCCCGTTGGGCTGCTCCCTGACTAATACCACAGGCATACTAAGGAGGACCTCTTCCCAGGAAATGCAGTGTCCCTCTCATAAACAATTTTGCCCCATCAGGCTTCCCAAACTTTTCTTAGAACTGCCCTGTGGTCCAAGATGCATGCCCTCAACCCTCCTGGAACTGTAATAGGTCCACTGCCTGACGTGTGGCAAGTTAGTACACCGAGACACCAAGTTGCAGCAGAGAAAGAAGTTTAATTGTAGGGCTGCTGAACGAGGAGATAAGAGGGAACCTCAATCTGTCTCCCCAAGGAGTGCTGGGCTAGGATTTTTAAGAGAGTGGAGATTGTTGATTGATGGAAGAGTGCAGGGTGAAGTCATGGGGGAAGAAACTGTATTCTCATGCTGATTTGGTTCCTCTGTGGAGGTCTTCAAACTGCTTGCCATCAGCTGTTCAGCTGTTTTGCTGGAATTCAGGACCTGAAAAACACCTAAGGCAATAGCCTCATTATTCTAAGGTCAGAAATTTTATCTCTAGGAACAACAGGGTTGCAAATGGTCAGTATCTAGTGTTATGGTGACTTTTAGCGAGAAGGAAGTGGGCCAAGGTGCAGCCTGATTACTGCTTAGTTATAACTATATGTCTGTCCAGAATTCTGGTTAACCCTGTGAGGATGGCTTCACTCCTTCCTTCTAGCCTTTCTCTCTCATTTGAGACAGACCTGCATTGTCACCTGATGGTTCTCTCAGTCTCTCGTGAATCCCTCCACATCTTCTGTAATACATTTTGTTCCATGTTTAAATCTCATCTCAGCATCTGCTTTTTGGAAGCTCCAGAGTTGTCCACAGACTGTTGGCCTAGAATGTGGTGATTGACAGGGTGGGAAACTTCTCTCTTTATGGAGAATGAACTGTGCCCATTTGGGACGCAGTGTAGTAGTGGTAGTGCCTTCATCGAGCTGTGATCTCAGCACTCGCTCTGCAACAGATCTACATGTGTAGTAACTGGAGACATTCTTCTCACTCTTCCTTGGGGTGCCTGGTTGCATTCTAGAAGGAAGGAGTGGTCCACACCTTGCAACTTCCATCTTGGACACAAGATCTTCCCGGACCAAAAGAAGAATCACAAAGACCCTTTTTGTGTCTGGTCCTCAGGGGACTGAGCTATTTAAAAATTCTGATATGAATGTTTATAGGATGCATTTTCCTTCCTTAAGCAAAACACCTCCCACCATGGAGCATTCCTCCTTGACTGACTAAATTACATTTTAACGCAGATTCTCAGCTGTTTACCTGTCCTACCTTAATCAATAAGGCACCGAGAGCAAATAGCTTGACATCTATTAGCTGAATCAGTGTGAAAACATTGCGGAGCTTATTACTGCACCTCCAAGTCTGTTCAGATAACTGAAACTAATTGAAACTCTTTTACGAGCTCACGAATTTGGGACAGTTTTGATGCTATTCAGTCTCAGCCGAGACAGTGATTCTTCTGAATATATCTATATTACTAGAACATTACTTGCCATGTACGGCACTGTTAACCTGTTGTAGATACAAGCCCCAATCATAACCATGGCTCAGGCAAGCTCTGAACCCAAAGGACCCGCCTGAAGGGAGAGGGGAGCAAGTAAAGTGTGTGAAGGGTGTTCTAGGCAGCCAGAAGCAGACAGTTGGCCACACGTATACGACAGGTCAGGAGCTCAGCCTGAATGGGTGAAGCTCTGGGGCAAGGCAAGGGTATCTTGTAGCTGGTAATTGGTAGAAATCCAAGCACAGCAAATGACCAAACCTGAGAAGGCCCATCCGTCAGTGGCGTGGCTCCATTCCCTGAGATGGAAGGATCTTGGTCAGCAAAGTGCAGCAAAGACTCAGGTGGGGGCAGAAAAAGCGGGAAGCCAGTTATTAGCAGGAGACTGGGTAAAAAATAAGGCAGAATCCTACATGCTGGAAATGTATTCTGAGGTCAGATTGTTGTCCCACTCTGAGGACAGAGTGGAAGCAGTGTCAAAGCTGACAGTACTCCAAGGAAAAGCTTCTTACCTTCCTGACAAGGCAGAGGGTGGGTGTCTGATTGTAGAGTGTAGGAGAAGGCCGAATTTCCTATAAGTCTGTGGGGTGAGGCTGGGGACAGAGAAGGGAAGAAAAGGATCAGGGAAGGAAGGGGTTAAATTAAGAAAGCTCAGGAGATTGGGACACAAGCAAAACATTACAGCTATAAACTAAAAATAAAATCCTAAGCCTCCTAACCAACTGAACGGATTCCATCTTGGGCAAGAGAACCTCAGAGAAACCTGAAAAACTGAATTCTTGGCCCTGATGGGAAGGGAGATTGGACATGCCCTGTTATTCTCTCTCTTTTGGAGTTTAGGCATAACTGACCAGCATTAATGTTAAAATAGAGATCATAAGACTGACAGAATGGATTCCTTTTTTTTTTTTTTGAGACAGAGTCTCACTCTGTCACCCAGGCTGGAGTACAGTGGCGCAATCTCGGCTCATCGCAACCTCCGCCTCCTGGGTTCAAGTGATTCTCCTGCCTCGGCCTCCCGAGTAGCTGGCATGCACCACCACACTCAACTAATTTTTGTATTTTTAGTAGAGACGGGATTTCGCCATGTTGTCCAGGATGGTCTCGAACTCCTGACCTCAGGTAATCCACCTGCCTCAGTCTCTCAAAGTGCTAGGATTATAGGCGTGAGCCACGCACCCGACCCAGAATGGATTCTTGTTGCAATAAGATACCAAATTGTAAACAAGACCTAAGGCCATGCCGGGCAAGGATTAAAGTCATGCCCTACAAACCATAAAATCTTGTTAAATGTTTTTTTTTTTAAATTAACCTGGTATAATGTGGCTTATTTTCCAACATGACTCTGATATAGCATCACGTGACAGAGAGCAGACCCCCTCATCTTAACTTAAGCATTCCTTTCTACTGACTTCAAGTCTTTAGATAAGGCTTAACTCTTTCAACAAACTGTCAACTAAAAAAATCCCTAAAACCCACCTTGATTTGTAAGACCTGTCTTCAAAATGTCCTGCCTTTTTGGACTGAACCAAGTATTCCTTCCATCTCTTGATTTTTTATTTTATCTCCAATTTCTGTCTCACTGAAACATATAAAACAAAACTGTAATCTAACCACCTTGGACGTACTTTCTCAGGACTTCTTGAGACTGTTTTCCCTGGGCTTAGAATAAACTTCTTTAAAATATATTACAGAACTTGGTTTTTTTATTAACACAGCAAAAATTAAAAAAAAAAAAATCAAAATCTAGAAAAAGGAAACTGCATTGTCTCTAAACTCCCACCAACACATTACTGTCAAAGACATCCAGGATATGAATTTCCTCCCTCTCAGTTCTCCAGCCCTCTGAGCAGGTTCAGGGATGGTTTCTGCATAAGGAACAAGGAGGCTATGTGGTTTCTTGTGGTAGACCAGCACCCCTCGGAGCCTCTGTAATTCAGCCCTCCTCTTCATGTTACTGTCACCCTAGATGCCAGTGCGGAGACTGGAGCTTCCATGGTACTGCAGCCAATTTTGTTAAAAGGAGCACTGATTTTAGGAGATTTACAAACAGAGGCATCACTGTCCATATATCTATAATATACCAAATTGGCCTCTTTTCTTTCCCTAGTGCCTCCAAACTTATCAGTTCATTCTTCTTCCCCCTTAATAGGGAAGTCAGAGGCATTTTCCCTTTGCCATTAGTGTGGCTTCTGAAACCATGAGCACCATGAAGCTGTGAGGTCTCCTGGTTCCACCCCTGGTCTCACCACTCATCCACTCTGCTGTATCCAGAAAGGATGATCCTGGTGTTCAGCCTCTGCTCCTACAATGACACCCCATTGTCATATCTTTGCTAACTTTTCCTCTTTTCTGGAAACTTCCATTTTAGCTGCTCATTTGCTTAATTACCTCTATTGCTGATACTTACAAAAAGACTGAACATGTAACAGATGGTGCCTTGGGATGGATGGATGTTATGGATGCAGAACTGTCAACACACCTATCTCAATTCCATTTTAACTTTCACATTATGTCCCCCCGTGGACTGTTGGCAATGAACTAAGCTGATGTGTGCTGCCGGCGCCCAGATTCACATCGAGCTCAGTAATTCTTTTTGCCTCCTGTGCTTCCTCCCACTCTCTCTCCACAGTATGTTTGGCTTCCCAGTGCTTTTGTAATGATCTCTGTAGCATCTTTAAAAACTATTCCACCTCATTTAAAATGTAGTATAAATGATGAGGTTTTGACAAATTAAATAACAATAAGAAAACATTTTCAATATTCTGTATTTTTCCATTAAGCTCCAAAAAAAAATAGCCATTAAAAGAGCACCATTCTCAACCCACAGTTAACGACGTGTTAGTCCTGGTTTCATTAAACACCTCATTATTCAAAGACTTATAATTCAGTCCAAGAAATCTCCTCTGAAGTTGAAAATAAATCTGATCTCAGTTTAGAAACTTACTTTTACAGAATTTGAATTAAGATTGAGTATCCAATGAGGGCACTGGTTAATACAGAAATGTCTCAGGATATTGAAATGATGGACCAAAATCAACAGAATGAAACTTAGCATGGATTATTATTGAATGCTGTGTGAAAGCTGGAAAGTTATAAAATAGAAAGAGCAGATATTAGGCATTTGGGAGTGAAGAGGCCTGACTTTGATCCCGGCTCTGCTTCTAAACAGCTATTTGACTAAGCTATTTACTGGTGCTCTCTGGGACAAAGTTACCCCATCCATCTAAAGAAGACCTTTAAGACAGCTTCAGGCTCTTAAAGTGTCAATTGATTATCAAGTACAGATTTAATTCTCCACTAAAAAAGACTAGGGCTCTTTGGAGAAGTGGCTAATTCCAGGCTGGCATAGTGTAGGTAAGGCTGGAGAATAATCTTGCTCTGCTAGAAAGTAAGGAAGTGCAAACAAACAAACAAAAAAAACCAAGCAAAAACAAAAAACAACAACAAAAAAAGAAAAATGAAAAACAGGAAAAACAGGGCACGGAAAAGGATGCAAGAGCCAGCTGAAAGTGTTCTCACAGGTCAAGTTGGGACAATTTGAGCACCAACATAATTAAATATAATAATAAATTATGAGAAAGAGAGCAATTGATAAAGCAAGTGGAGTAGAATGTTAGCAACGGTGAATCTGGGTAAAGGATGTATGAATGTCCTTTTTTTTTTTTTTTTTTTTTTTTTTTGAGATGGAGTCTTGCTCTGTTGCCCAGACTGGAGTGCAGCGGCATGATCTCAGCTCACTGCCAGCTCTGCCTCCCGGGTTCACGCCATTCTCCTGCCTCACCCTCCCGAGTAGCTGGGACTACAGGTGCCCGCCACCACACCTGGCTAACTTTTTTGTATTTTTAGTAGAGATGGGGTTTCACCATGTTAGCCAGGATGGTCTCAATCTCCTGACCTTGTGATCCACCCACCTTGGCCTCCCAAAGTGCTGGGATTACAGGCATGAGCCACCATACCCGGCCATATGAATGTCATTTTTACTCTTATTCTTACAGGTCTGAAATTATTTTCAAAGAAAGAGAAAAAATTGCACACACGTGCAAGCATGTGTGTGTTTAATATGCAGACTCAGAGCTGCTTGACTTTAGAGCTCAGGTAAGAAAACCCAAAAACCTAGGTGACAAAATGTTCACTATGGAGCCAAAGTTCAATGTGCATGAAAATATCTTATTTAAACATTAAAACACATATCTGGGGTGTTGGAGTTAGCTTATTAAACTCATTGCTGAGTTTTGCTCATTAAATGGGAGTGAGAAACTGAGGTGCTTTTGCAGAAGGGTGACTAGTGAAGGGTTCGGGAATAAGCTATAAAAGGAAATGGAAAGAACTGGCAAGAGGAAACTGAGATGGGTGCGTGGGGGAGATGAAAGTTGTTATCAGATAGTTAAAAGACCAAAATACTCCAGAAGTAAGATTTATTCATTGTAGCTCCAGGGGACAGGAGCACAGATAGACTTGACTCCATAGAAGTAGTAATCCTTTCCTATTAGATTTTTCCGTGAATGAAATAGTTCCCCTACCAGGTAGTAAATTCTCCTTACTGAAAGTTTAGCCTCTCCAATAATTGACCCAGAAATGCTATCCAAAGAATTCTCACTGTGGGGGAAGGTTGGTCTAAATTGGTGCTTCCTAACCCGTTGACTAGATAATCTAGGAAATCCTTGAAATTATTTGAAGGGATGATTGATTAAATCCATGTATACCCCAAGTATAATCTTCAGATCCAATAAATAGTGTGCCTTCACTTTTATTCATTACCATTTTCCAAGTGTACATAGACGCTATTTGATTAATACAAATTTTCATTTAAAAATCTTTCAGAATTCATATTAGCCTTTTGATGTTACCCTTTGTTTCAGTATCTATCAGTGTTCATCCATACAACTATAATCATGTGTGAAATCTGTTATGTCCCTTCCTTTTTTTTTTTTTTTTTAAGATGGAGTCTGGCTCTGTTGCCCAGGCTGGAGTGCAATGGCCGGATCTCAGCTCACTGCAAGCTCCGCCTCCCGGGTTTACGCCATTCTCCTGCCTCAGCCTCCGGAGTAGCTGGGACCACAGGCGCCCGCCACCTCGCCCGACTAGTTTTTTTGTATTTTTTAGTAGAGACGGGGTTTCACCGTGTTCACCAGGATGGTCTCGATCTCCTGACCTCGTGATCCGCCCGTCTCGGCCTCCCAAAGTGCTGGGATTACAGGCTTGAGCCACCGCGCCCGGCCTGTCCTTTCCTTTTTTAAAAAAATTTAAAAATGTGTTCTCCTGTGAAAGAAGCCTTAAATAAAGAGGTAAACTATATTCTCCTACAGGAAAACCTAGCATTATAAAGATGTTAGTTTATCCTCAAAATAATTTATAAATTTAGTACACTTTTAATTAAAATCTCAACTGTTTTGTGGTGAGCAGATGCAGGGAAATTGGACAAATTGATTCCAAAATGTATTTGCCAGAATTAATGTTCAAGAGTGCTCCATCCCTCCAAAAAAGTATAATAAAAGGGTTCTTGTCCTACCAAATTGCAAATTCATTATAAAACTACAGTGTTTCAACAGTGTGATCATGGAGCTGAGGGAGATTTTGGATGAATGGAAAA